TGTTCTGATAATACTCGAGTTATCACATTCAATTTGAGTAACATCGAATATCAAGGATAAGACGACATTTTGTTCTGATAATACCTCAGTTATCACATTCAGTTTGAGTAACATCGAATATCAAGGATAAGACGACATTTTGTTCTGATAATACCTGAGTTATCACATTCAGTTTGAGTGACATCGAATATCAAGGATAAGACGACATTTTGTTCTGATAATACTCGAGTTATCACATTCAATTTGAGTGACATTCTGAATGTATAATTTTACGTGAGTACATTAATCGCTCCTGTATTCAACCTACCGTGTTTCCTTCATTTGAAGCATCATGAATGTTCTTTACTCGGCTTACGGAAACAGAAAAATAATAAACTGCTTAAGACTATTAAGCAATATCGAATGAAATGTATTCTTATACGTAGCATTTCGAACACAAGAGCGTGTTTGAATGTCGAGTTTCAATATAAGCATTCAGACAGACTGGCGCTAAGATTGAAAATAACTACAACTAAGAGGAAGAAACAGGCTTTAGCTGCACTAATAAGACAAAGAATAAGGTTGTAGCTGCCAGAATAACAGACTCTGGCTGTGAAGTTAAGACGTAGACTAGCAGGCTGGAGGTGATGCTAAGATGCAGCATGACGGTTTCTAGTTGTGATACTAAGACGAAAAATAACATAATCTAGCTATGATGGTATAACCAAGAATAATAGTCTCTAATGTACCACTAAGGACGAGAACAACAGGATGTAGCTATGATGTTAAGAGAGAGAGAGAGAGTAGTTTTGTTTGTTTGTTTGTTTGGAATTCAGCACAAAGATACACAATGGGCTATCTGTGCTCTGCCCACCACGGGTATCGAAACCCGATTTCTAGCGTTGTAAGTCCGCAGACATACCGCTGTGCCACGTGGGGGGGGGGGCGAGAGAGAGAGTAACAGGGTCTAGCTGTGACACTAAGACGGAAAATAAAAGGTTTCACCTGTGACACTAAGACGGAGAATAAAAGACTTTAGCTCTGATGCTAAGACCAAGAATTACATGCTCTAGCAGTGATGCGCTAATCAGTATTATCTTCCGATCAAAGCTTGCTATATACTTAGTGGAAAACTAACAACCTAGCAATTAGTTTAGCTAATTAGATATACTTTTCTAATGTTCCTACTTATAAATATTAGAATGCATTGTTTCATTGCTGTTAATGATATATTCGGCCGATGTACCCGTAACATATTACAAGGTTCGGTTAGCTTAAGAGAGTTATTTCTAAATCTATGTATGAAGCTAAAATTGAAGTCAATCCCTTTCTATAAGTAAAATATAAGAATAAGACTAAAACTAAAAAGTAAGACAGAGAATAACAGACAAACTGTGAGGTTAAGACAGAGAGTAACAGGCTTTAGCTATGCTTTTAAAACCAAAACCAACAAGTTTTAGTTGTGACATTAGGACCGAAAATAGTATACTCTAGCTGTGACATTAAAACTGCGAATAACATGCTGTAGCTGTGACATTAAGACCTAGAATAACATACTCTAGTTTTGACGCTAAGACTAATAATAACAACTCTTAAGACTGAAAATAACAGACTATAGTTGTAACACTAATATGGAGAATAACACGCTACAACTCTGAAGCTAAGATGGAAAATAAAAGACTCTATCTGTGACCAGATAATAGGTGCTATCAGTAATGCTAAAACTGGAAATAATAGACGTTACAACTGAGAATAACAGACCCTAGTTGTGATGCTAAGACTGATAATAATAGGACCTAGCTGGGACATTAAGATGTTGGCTATTAGCAATTATTAACAGCAAACTTATAGTTAAGAAAAGCTTTGAACTGTCATTTTTCTATATATATATTTTATTCTGTTCAACTTTTGGTTAGAATATAAAGAATATGTACAAACGCAGCAAAGACAAAATGGCTTAAAATTATTGTATATTTTAATTTAATAAATTCATTGGATTGAAAACTTTGCAATGAGAAATCACGTTTAGTATATATTTTATTTTCTACGTATTTTATCAGTCTGAGTAAAACTTGTGTTTTGACACTGTATTTTTTTATTGTTGACATTTGATGTTTCGTTCTTACAGCTGACATCCTGGATATCTTCCATAACTATGTTTTCTAACAGATCCGGCCAAATTAAAGCCAAGCTTCTTCTTCTTGTGGGTAAACTGATTCGGACAAAAGATCCTTCTTCAGATCTCTTGGATCCTGCGGCAGACACTAAACTTAAGGTAGAAATCACTTGTTGTACTTCTTAGAACAGTTCGAAATATGAAGCATGTGTTCTATCCTTTTCTGGTCATTATTTAAGTTTCCACACTCTGGCAGAATGATAACAAATTTGATGTAGAGTTCAATAATTAGATCCTCTGAAAAAGACAGGGGCTTAAGATTTTATAAAAAAAATTAAATGACTTATCTGTTGGATTCAATAGAAGACATAAATTAATACATAGATCATATGTCGTACCTTTTGTTACCCTATACCAAAGTTAACATGAGAAATTGTTAGATTCCATACAAAATTAAAACGAGGATTAGGTTTCGTATCCTTAGAACTTGGCACGGCCTGTGGTTTAGGGCGCTCGAATCGCAACCTGTAGGTCGAATCCCGTCATCCAACATGTTCGTCCTTTTAACCATGGGGGGCGTTATTATGTGACAATTTTTTTGTTGGTAAAAGAGTATCCCAAGAGTTGACAGTGGACGGCGCTCATTAGCTGCCTTCCTTGTATGGTCCAAAATCTGAGACAGCTAGTGCTTGAGTAGCTTTGCCCGAAATTGAAAAACAAACAAACAAATGTATCTCTAGATTCTAATAGAAGACATACTACGGGTGTACTAAGTGTTTAATATTTAACATAATTTTTTTCCAAAATATCTGTACATATATCGTATATATAGGTTTAACAAAAAACTTTAGTCGAGGAAGCTGCTAAATTCCTTTCGCCCTGGTTACTTATTCTGCTGGGTTATTTACCTATACTATCACGTGTGCCTTCTCGTGGGAAATAATTCTATAGAGAACAGAAATTGAATACATTATATATATAATAGTTCTGGAGCTTCACTATGTCATAATAGTACATGTTACACGTCCAGTCATGTTCTCTCTGACGACAATACATCTTGAGAATAGCCTTACAACCCTGTATCTATTTCAGTGGACTGTCGTAAGAATGTCATGTCTAAAACACAACCTCCTCCCTGCCGACTTTCCATAAAGCATCTAGTGTACGAGGATGACAGCTTCCCAGCGTCCACTTCAACAGTCTGATTATACAGAAGTCTCTAGGTGCTGCGTTTGTATGGAGCCCCTCAGTGGCACAGTGGCATGTCTGCAGACTTACAATGCTAGAATCCGGGTTTCGATACCCATGGTGGACAGAGCTTTGTGTTGCTTTGTGCTTAACTTCAAACAACAACAGCAATAATTTGTATGGAATAGCATGAATACCCGTTTTATTCTTTAGCTTCTTCACGTATGTGATGGTTCAACAGACATGTCGTAGAATTAACTCGTATACTTTTTTATGGTGAAATTCCTTCTTGATTATGTCTTGTACTGTTTCCTGAGACATATGGACGGCTTCTGCCATTGACCTTTGTGCTGTGGATCCTACCTGTTACATGGTGCAGCACTTTTCTTACTATGGCTGGGATTAATCTTATTGCAGGTCTCTTTGTGGATGGTTCTAATGTCTTCAGTTGATCCATAATCTTTTATTTTTCATCGTTATTAAGTGACCAATTCTCGGGAGCATCACGTTACCTACGAATGCCAAACATATCACAATGATGTTCCGATACATTTTGTTCTACTGCGACTTTATATCCGCTGTGGTTGTTATGTGACTTGCTGATTTGCTGTATTCAATCCTGTGTAGAACGTACTGTGTGTAAGAATACAGTAACCTTTTCCATTGGTAGGTCAAGTGATACTTTGAGGCTATAATCTCGCTCATATTTCCATAGCAATGACCAACTATTACGAATGTAGTGTACACATCCTGGGAAAGAATCACATTATTATTTTCTTTATATACTGCTATATTTTCTGTCTGGAATATATTATTTTTCTTCTTATGGGGTTCTACAATTCTCGTGAACTTGAATATTTTGTATTTTCACATTTTCATACATCATGTTCAGTCTATTTCATTCTTCACAACTCAATCAAAGTCAGATGATTCAGATCTGCTCCCTCAAAACATTTTCTGTTATTCTGGGGATCCTGCCCAATTGCTTTTAGAGGAAGGAAATCGGTACATCTAAAGATACCACAACATCACATTTGATATAAAAATTAGTTAACGGGTAAAATAATGTGTTTTAATAACTCTAATTTGGCACCAGTCTTTTTTTTTTAAGTAAAATTCTATCTTCCGATTTTCTTACTATAGAAACAAACGATAAATTTAAAGTAAAAATCCGTATTCCGTTTTCCTTGCTACGGCAGTAGGCGTTATATTTAAAGTAAAAATCCGTATTCCGTTTTCCTTGCTACGGCAGTAGGCGTTATATTCAAAGTAAAAATCCGTATTCCGTTTTCCTTGCTACGGCAGTAGGCGTTATATTTAAAGTAAAAATCCGTATTCCGTTTTCCTTGCTACGGAAGTAGGCGTTATATTCAAAGTAAAAATCCGTATTCCGTTTTCCTTGCTACGGCAGTAGGCGTTATATTTAAAGTAAAAATCCGTATTCCGTTTGCCTTGCTACGGCAGTAGGCGTTATATTTAAAGTAAAATTCCGTCTTCTACTTTTCTCGAATTAGCAGCGAAAAATTCAAAGCTCGAGATTCGGAAACCTGTTAGACTTTTTATTGATTTTCTCCTTAAAATTAATGACTTCCTTGAATGAAAAGAGTCACAACTTAAGTTGCAATGGGCTTATAAATCTTTTCGGAATGGTGATATAAGTTAAAATAAAAAGACAAACTTACTCCATTTTATTGTTAAATGTTTTATGCATATTTGCAAGTGAAAACTACTAGTAAACTCATAAATAAATGGTCAAGTAGGTTTAAATATTTAATCTTCTTTCAGAAATGTTTAACCACATTAGATCTTACTTCCCTTGGAGTGGGAAGCTGCGTAGGGACAGGAATGTATCTAGTCTCTGGAATGGTGGCCAGAAATGTTGCTGGGCCAGGGGTCGTCCTATCATTTCTAATAGCGGCTGTGGCATCGCTCTTTTCAGGTTTGGATTTTTCTTTTGTTTTAGTAACAGATCAACGCTTAGTCCCTTTTCTCGTTTATCTAATTGGTAGTTGCTTGTACATCTTCTTTTATATTTCTTTAAACATTCGATTATTTCTCTTCTTACTCCGTCTCTGAAATTAAATTAGTTCATGTAGCCATTTTTTTAGTGAAATTATTTCAAAAATACCTTACAGAACATTAACAATAAAAACATACAGTAAGCTTAGAAGAATTTTGGTAATATCTGAACTATGTGTGCTAAACGTATTTGAAGAGTATTTTCCAAGTATGTTCTCAAGATTAGTAAGTTATGCACATTAGGCCTTAAAATTAACTGTTTCTGTGTGTGACAGGTAGGCGCTAGTTGGTGTTGATTAATGTGTGTTTGTTCACAACAAGTTTGTTTACAAGATTAGTAAGTTATGCATATTAAGCCTTAAAATTAACTGTTTCTATGTGTGACAGATAGGCGTAAGTTGGTGTTGATTAATGTGTGTTTGTTCACAACAAGTTTGTTTACAAGAAGTTATGCACATTAAGACTTAAAATTAACTGTTTCTATGTGTGACAGATAGGCGTAAGTTGGTGTTGATTAATGTGTGTTTGTTTACAAGATTATGCGTTTTTACCGCCCGCAGACTCAAATAAAGACATCCCACCAAGATCAACAAATCAGTTCGATACTTAGCGTTTTTATTTCTTCTCTAATGATGCGTGAAAATAGAAGCTTCAATAAACTAGAGAGGCACTCAGAAGGGCGCATACCTCGGCCACACAGCGTTGATCATGTTCCGTTTTCAAAAAATATGAAAATGTGTCCGTATGTCCGTCTTCATCATTTTGAGCAGGACAATGAGAAATAATATTCTACATAAGTCCACCAAGTTTCATCAAAATACGATCATTTTTGACTGAATAATAAAGCAAAAATAGTGTGAAAAATCGGTCCCCATGTTAACAGATAGGATTTTTTTTTCGTGACCTTGCTGTGGCTTTGATCTTTGACCTTGACTCTCTACAAAATAACCACTTCTAAGTTGGGTCATAGTCCAAATGTATAGAAGCTTTCGTCCAAATCCATTCAGCCGTTTTCAAGAAATCTTGCTGACAAACACACAAATAAACACACACACACACACGGGGTTGAATAGAAAACCTTTGGTAGTTCCGATAATAATTAATTTTTCATGTGCTTCATACAAAAACAATCTTGTTGACAAACACACAAATAAACACACACACACACGGAGTTGAAAACAAAACCTTTGTCAACCTTTGGTAGTTCCGATAATAATTAATTTTTCATGTGCTTCATACACAAACAATCTTGTTTTTTTTCAAATCGAAAATAAATTACTGCTTTCTATTACCATTAAGTGTCACCAAATTCTAGGCGGTCGTGTTTGTTTGGAGGTGTAACGCTGTGTAATTTAAATTTTGAAAGCATTTGAATCACGTTTTCCACGTATCAAGTATCGTATTCAATGATGGATTCTTATATGTATAAAATATTCGTTTAAACGTTCAGAAGGGATGGAGAAATTTAATTTTCATATATATCACGAAGAAACTTAAATTTGATAGCAACAACATTTTGATAGAACAAATAACACACTTCTCTTTTTAAAATAGTATAAAAAAATGTATTATCCCAACTTAAAACTGTTAAGAACGAATATTATCAAATTTTTGAATGGAATCGTTAAAATATATCCATCCGTTAAAGTTTCTGTTATTATTATATATATATCCATCCGTTAAAGTTTCTGTAATTAGTATATATATCCATCCGTTAAAGTTTCTGTCATTATTATATACATCCATCCGTTAAAGTTTCTGTGGTTATTATATATAGCCATCCGTTAAAGTTTCTGTTATTATTATATATATATATATATCCATCCGTTAAAGTTTCTGTA